AGGGGGAATTTTCTAGAGGTGTTGGTGGGGTTGTAGGGTGAGGAGGCTTGGCTTTTCGGGCGTAGGGTTTGGGGGCCTTTCGGTTTTACAGTGTAGGGCTCCAGGGCTTTAGGATGTAGTTCACACTCCTTCGAGGAGGAAAGGAGCCCTCCACAAAGGCTTCCGTATCGAGGTCGGAAGAATGAGTACTGCTAATCCTCATATCTGCCTGTAGCTATAGCAGAGTGAACCGCAAGGCCTTATTCTACTTATTAAGACCCCAAGACTTGTCAGACCCCAAGATCATCAACATGGTGCTTTGAGATTAATTATATTTCAAGCAAGGGGAGTTCCGGCAAACCGCAAGCGAAAGAAGGCTTGGGACCAAATCCCAACGTGCACTGACAGCCGCACTTGCTGCTGTTGTGGTTGTTGTTGTTGCTGCTGCAGCACGAAGCCCACCATCATAGCAAGATTCCGCTCAACTCCTCCGACAGCTCTTCTGTTCTCGAGGTCACGGCTGCCGCCAAGAAGATCCTGGGATCGAAGCTTTCGCTGGCAGCCTACGGCGACGTCCACTCGGTGCGGATCGCTGGGTTTAGGGGGCTGCGAAGGGGTTTTTTGATAGTCTGTGGATCCTTGTATCCACTTATTATCACAGGGTTTTAAAAAGGTGGACTTAGCAGCGAGTGGTTTGGGCTTGGGTGGAAGCAGTTCTACCCCGGGCGTTCTGCACCTTACTTTGGAAACACCACGGGGCCTCGAAGTTTCGAAGTGGTGAGGTGCCCCACTACGCGGCGATCGAGGCGGCCCTGAAATGAGACTCTCTGAAAGCTCTCACCAACGCGATTTTTTGAGGCTTGAGTTATTGGGCTCCCGTAAAGACAGAGACAAAGAGAGACACTTACATCACAAGCCGTATCTTGAGACATGGGGCCAGTGACGTTCTGTGGAGTTGGGCATTGAAGGCCCTTAAAAGAAAGGTGGAGGAGGAGTTGGAAAGGAAGACCACAACTCGTGGCATGATGCTTCCAGCTCGAAGTATGGGCTTCCCTGCTTTGGCCACAGACTTGGTTACCTCCTGTGCCAGCATCTCCGGCACCAGAAGCAGCAGCTTTAGAAGCAGATATAATATAATATAATATATAATATATAATATATAATATATAATATATAATATATAATATATAATATATAATATATAATATAATATATATGATTCCTAACGGCCTTGGCGGATGGAAGCGGATCGGCCTGAAGTTTGCGTTTCTTCATGTTGCCATAGCTTGAACTGAACTGTTGGGTGGCGGCCAAATGAAGGAGCGTGCAGCCCGCATGTAGTATAGAGGCCTACGCAATGAATAGTGTTCCCTTATGGTCCCTATTATTTTGTTCTACTAAACTATAGTGGCCACAACAACAGCCCTACTGCTGTAATTAAGGCCCTTGTGTTCGGTCGTGCCAGGAAGCTTCCCGAAACTGATATTGATAGGTCCTTTGTGCGATCCGGAAAGTCCAAGACGAAGATCCAAGGCCGAAGCTCCTCAACACCTTAAGTACGGTATAGTACAGTGTAGCATCGTGCCGTATAGTCTAGTATGGTTTGTTTGGTATCGTGTGGTCTTGGCATAGTGCACGCACGAACGCACAAACGCGAATGCACGCGGGCACCCACACCCATGCCCCCACACCCCCACACCCACGCGCAGAGACTCACACCCCGTCTCCTTCTGCCGCAGACGCAGACGCCGACGCGGACGGAGACGGAGCCGGAGATGGAGACGGAAACAGAGACAGACACAAACACACGCACGCACACACACACACACATATATATATGCGCACACAAACACACACATATATACATATACATATATATATATATGCAGACACACACACACACACGAGTAACATCATTAGCATTTATTTTTTGTACTTTTCATGTTTATTCAGTTACTCTATAATATCCACGATAGCCTTACTGTAGATATGCAGGCCCTTGTACCCATTCGTGCCAGGAAGTTTCCCGAAGCTGATGTCCATGCTCCTTCCTGCGATCCCGAAAGCCGGAGACGAAGATCCTCAACACCTTAAATATAGCATCGTGCAGAATCGTATATTCTTGTGCCAAATAATCCAATATAGTATAGTCGGAGTTCGTCTAGTCTGGTCTAGTTTAGTCTGGTTGCATCCAGCCTACGTTAGTCGAGTATATTATAGAGCAGTGTAGCATAGTGTTGTGTAGGGAAGTAGAGTATAGTATAGCACAACATAGCGAGGCAAAGTGGTGTGAGGCATAGTATAGCGCAGCATACTGAATAAAGTATATCAGAAAAGAGTGGAGCATAGCAGAGTACAGTAGAGTAGAGTTTAACGCAGCGAAGGCAGGTTGCGCGCAGCCAGTCTTAGAACTTTCGGGGCTGGTTTAACCATTAAGTGTTGTCACGTGGGTGAATTTTGGCTCCAGGGGGGCAGATCACGTCACACCTGAAGCCCATCAGCCAGGCTACATTGAAATCATGACCACCAGAGCGGAGATGTGAAACCGTGTCTGTTCAACACAAATGTCAACAGCATGTCGCCAGCTCTATACACCGCTTGTGACGCTATTTAGTACAGAGCTTGAGGCCACAGACATTGCATGGCTGAAGCAAGTTAGACCAAGAAGTCTACTCTCCAGACCGCAACAAGCCCGCCGAGTTCAATACCGGTACCTCGCTGCTTGCAGCTCACAGACCCAGCGAAGAGACAAGTCCAGCGACTTACACTGTAGAATAGAGACTCGTCGGTTTGCGGCGGTGGGCAGGCACGGACCTTGCTTCCATGCATCGGGGCCAGAACGAAGGTAGGCGAGTGCCGGGCAAGCATCAGTCCCGGATCCCGGAAGGCCGAATGCCAAACCCAGCAAACGCCCTCGTTCGGCAGATGCAGGCAGTCTCAGCTGGGGTTTACGAGGGCTTTTTGCCCTCCTTGACGCTTTGGCTTGTCGGGCACGTTCTTGACCGGAAGGTCTTTCATCTTTGGCCTCGGTCCCTGCAGAGATCATGTCAGGGTCAAGCACGGGTTGAGTCCGTTGACGCAGGTCCGGCAGCTATGTGTAGGGCAAATTTCAGGTTTGAACTTGCCTGAGCACTGCTACACTGACATCCAGATGCAAGCCATGCGCAGAAGCCAGGATGCATCCAACTTCCGGGAGCAGACCTCAGGCGTTCCCCTCGGTGCAGCGGGTATCGGGCTCAGGGAACACGCTCCCCTCAGGCAGTTCTTCCCTTTTGGTGCTTTCATTTTCAGATCACACCGACCCGTTGCATTCGCATTCTTCTTGATGGGATACGTGCCCCTGTAAGTAGAAACGAACAATTCAGCTCCGCCCTCGTGAGCTGGATGTCGTAAGTCAGACACCTCAAAAGATTCTAAAGCATGTTCCGTCCACCGTCAACCCATGTGCATTTCTCAAGCCCTGTCCGATGTCGAGTTGACCAGGTCACACTGCCCGGCCACACCTGGGGCCAGCTCATTCTGCCGGGGCTCCCGATTTCTGGATTGTCTCAACATAAGAGGAGAACTTGCAATTTGGTGCTACCAGCGGCCGCTGCTGCTACTGCTCCTTCTCCTCCCGCTCCTACTCCCCCACTGCCGATGGTGCCTGTGCTGGTGCTGCTGCTGTGCCCGAAACCCCGAAAGTGTCGGACTCGAACGGATTCCGCACCTCAAACCCAGGCCAACCCACAATCAAATGTTCCTTCACATCCAGCAGTCTCATCCATTGCTCGACCAGGCCGCATTTCGGCCACAAGGCAAAGATACTGACGGTGTGTTTCAGTGAGTTTCAGTGATTGTCAAAAGGACTTTAGGTTTCATGTTGAGGAATCCTAGACTAGACCTTAGATGTAAAGCCGGTCACTCCAAGAGCGTTTCAGCACATTTGCTTCTTGTTTGTCAGCCTGCAGCGGTTGGTTTCTTTAGGCTAAGGCTTTGCGTTTTGGGACTTTTGAGACCTTGAGAAGTTGAGTAGGGCTTCGAAGGGAGAGGGGCTTCGAGTTTCGCCGCTTTGCCTGCAGTCCATTCTTGTACCATCCACTTTCTTCGTGCAGCTCCTCTTGGAACGATAGCAGGCCGAGAATAAGGGCGTCCCCAAACAGTAAAGCACCGTGTGCCCAAAGGACCGTGTGCGAGGGCGCATTCTGAATTCTCGTGCGCACCCAGGGTGCGGCAGGATCAGCGGACCAGGACCAAGGGTTGCGACGACCAGGACGAAGAGGACGACCCAGAGGAAGAAGACGACCATGACGACCACGACCACGACGAGCAGGAGAGCCCACAGAGACCACTAGGAGACCACCAAAAGAAACCCCGCCAGGAAGATCAGGAGCACGCTGTTCCGGGGAACTCCACGGTCTCCAGCTTGCAACGCAAAAGAATGTCAATGCTAAGCTTTCCCAGATCCTCCCCAAAACCCCCCCCCCGAAAGCGCTCAAGCCCAAAAAACAGACACACACACACACAGCCCGGTGCCTGAGAGCTCTGAAGGCCATCCAGATCAGCTTTCTGCCACGGTCAAGGCGGGGTCTGGCGGTTCCGGAGCCCTGGGTCCCTGTAAAGCTGCTAGAATCACCGGGACACCTCTGGGAGAGCTGGGGTTCAAAAAATCGAGGAAGTCGTAAGGGCTCTGAGGGTCTCTGCGCAGACGGGAATGGGGCAGAGCTTGAAGCGAAGGAAAGGTCGGCGCAGTTGCAGGGCCCCTTCACGCAAGCAGTGGAATAACCCACTAGTAGGCCAATGGGCGGAATAACTCAACTTCTGAGCTGGAGAAATGTCTCCGCACCTCGAACCATAAGTCACCGTGAATGCTCTTTCACTCACCCGAGACTCGTCCCTGTGTGCCTGTGAGACAACAATGCCGGCATCGATCGACTCCACTGCCTGGTCTATTGCGACGTCCACGTCCACGACAAGCATCGGCAACGCAGGCGCGCTTTCGGTTCACGGTTGTCGCGAGAGCTTGCAGTGTGGGGTCCAGTTCACCCACCACTGTGGCCATGGGGTGGGCATTCAGCTGGTGTCGCAGCTTTGCATCGTCATCGGTTATTGGGTTGTTTCCGGTGGCAGTTGGATGCATTCGTCGACACATGCCCAGGGATCTCGCCCAAAATACGATTCTGTGACTTCCAGTTGCATGAATGCGTAGAAACAGCAGGTGAGTCAGGGCGCGTTGATGTGCGGCAGTTCTCCATGAATCGATGATGAACCTGGCTGCTAATGGTTCGATGGTTCGAACTGGACCGGCTGTACTCTCGTTAATGATGCATTGAAGCAGACGGCCGTGTATCTGTCCGTATATGACGTATTTACAAGATCTGAACTTTCAGAGTTCGCCGATTTCAAGAATGCTTGGCTGAGGAAAGGTGCCTTTCCTGCCCCGATGTAAGTCTGGCAGAAGTTCCTTTTTCTTCTCCGATTCTCGGAATCATCCGCCTGGAGTCGGAGGACATGCGAAGTTTCTGCGGAGCGTGTTGAAATGTGATCAGCAACTTCGGGCGAGAACTCCCAAACAAAGGGCGAACACACCATGCTCCGAAGCCCCATATGCCAGCACCGGGATCGTATTCCGATGCGACGATGCAGCGAAAGTTGTCGCCGTTGGCTCAGCCGACGTAGTTCGTGTGGTATTCGACGGTCGCAAACTCTAAAACCTATATTCTTGACCGCAGGGTTGTGCTAGCGGCTGCAGCACTCCATGAATTCTATCCAGGAAGCCAGGGACGTATTGTTGAGGCACTGCGGCAAGAACGCACGGTTTCAGAGTCCAGGCCTCTTCACC